AACAACGACTATCTCACAGCTCCTACGGCAGTCACGGTTATTTTGGGGATATAAAGCTGACAAATGATTGCTTCTAAGTTGGTCCTGAAATATTTAGTGAGAGATTGTAGTCCCTAGTTTAGCCAAGTTGTAAGAAGCTTATCTCTTTGAAATTGAATGTCTTCTATAACTTTATTTTACTTTTGTTAGCAAATAATCTGTGTTAGGTTTATGGTAGGTGTGGAGTAGCGCCATGTCATCTACTATCACAGCCTTTTCCAGTAGATCTTTATTTGTTCTTAAACTCTAAAACTTAAAAAAAGTTCAGCAGTTTCTGCTTAGACAATATTGCATCCTCCCGTCAACTGCAAACAACGACTTTGGTAGTGCTGAAAACTCGTAGTAGCCCAATTTGTATCTCAAATCTAGATCAACGATCTTGTTTTTTTATGGCTATAATTTTGTCTTTGAGGGTAGTTTTTAGCTATTTTGCTGTCGTTTTACACGTCTTAATAAAATTGTTCTGCAAAGGATCTCGTAACTGCATGTTGTTAGTATGCACTCGAGATCTTAGACAACTTCCGCCCCACTTTCTTAAGACACCTTTATTTTCTGTGGAAAGTCTCGCCGAGTTAGGATATGGATGACCTCCTCAGTTTTGTAGTCGAAAGAATTTGTCGTGTTTTGAAGAGCTTCCTTGAATTTAAGAACGTAATCGTCCTGACGATTTTGGCGTTCCAAAACTTCATCAGCACAAAACGGCTTTGAATTTCTTTTCACTGCCCAATTGCCTTGTAGATTGTACATTGTAGATTGTGGGGGAGTCGTTTCGGCTTTTCAGCCGCTCAGCACTGCCACCTTTGCAGATATTTTGTACGTGACTCTACATCTTAACTTGTCTCCAGGAAGCGTAGACTTCTGCCGAAGGAAGCTATTTTCCTGGGTGTCAGTTGGCCCACTTCTTCTGGTGACAGTGTTGCCGCCTCTAGGAAGTTGAGCCTCTTGCAGAATTGAGCTGGACATTCGCAGAGCAGGCGCTCTGCGGTCTCTATTGCGTCTGAGCAGAATCTGCAGAGATCGTCTTCTGCTCTACCTATTAACCTTAAATGGTATTTTACCAGGCAGTGTCCTGTTAGCAGTCCTACCACAAATCTGATGTCTGGTCTGCTCATGTTTAGGAGCTGTTCAGCTCTTCTTGCTGAAAGGGTAATAAACCTTTTTGACTGTCTGAGTCCCGGAGTGTGCCTCGAATATGATGACAGTTGGTATTTCTCCCATTTGTTGAGTTCTTCCATGATGTGGCTTTTCATTAAGCCACAGCAGGGCTCTGGTCCATGATATGGTGTTGAGGCCCCTTCTTTTGCGAGGCCATCTGCTTCTTCGTTTCCTTCTATGCCTCAATGACCAGGCAGCCACATCAGCGTTACCTGGTTGTGTGTCACTAGTGTTTTTAGGCTCTGTTTACACTCCCAGACTAGTTTTGACGCGCATTTGAAAGCCCTTAAGGCTTTTGAGGCAGTTTGGCTATCCGATAGTATGAAGATGTGTTTTCTTTTGAGGCTTTGGTTAAGACACTCTTGTGCACATATATCTATGGCAAGCAGTTCGGCTTGAAATATTGTAAGATGTTTACCCAGCTCTTTCCATTAGCTTATTGGATTCATCTGTGTACCACAAAGATGCATTGTCTGCTTGTGGTACTTCTTTATTCTCTCATGATTGGCGGTCGACCCCAATTACCTTCCGGGAATTGTTTCCAAATCTCCGAATCTTCGGATTCCAGGTTTCTCATCTCTGAAAGATATAGGGGTTTGTCCGTGCATAGTTAAATCTAATAAATTCCAAGAAGTAAGTATTTTACAGCCAATCTCCAATTCCATGTTCTTACAGCTCTTATGAAGATCATCATTACTTGCATCGTATCTATATTGTACATATAATATGTGCACTCTAGTTTGAAACCGGATGCTCGATATTTCGTGTAGCTGAAAAATTGTTTGTTTCTTCAACAACACTTCTTTTTTTTATGGTAGAAACAAGTACTGGCACTGGTAAAACCCCCATACTGAGACATATTATTATTTATTATTACTTTTGAAAATTATACTAGTAAACGTTCTAAGAAAACGTTTGGTCCAACATAAAAAATTGTAATAACTCTTGCTGTGTAGAATTAGGTGCAATGTGAAAAAGTGTCTGCGATAAAGGTTATTTTGTTCGCACTCAAACACATCATTTCCCATAGTGCCAACATCGAAATTATGTTTCTTCATTGCCAAACCAAAAAAATAAGACTACTACCACACTTGCATCATCATCGAGGCCACGGAAGCCTGTTTTTGTACACGTGACAGGGGACTATAATGTAATAACTAAATTCCACATTAATGTTTAATATATCTGATAGATAGGTACTTTTTGCAAGCGTGATATTTCGTCTTCTGTGCGGTGTTTATGTCATAATATTTACGTGTTAATTGGTATAATATTTACATCTTTGAATTATTCAACTGCCGACTCATATTCCAATGCATTGCTGAAAATTTTTCAAATCTAGATAATACTTTCAACGCGGCGGCTTGAACTAAAATAAATAGGTATTCTTGATGAAATATGGTCCATTAGTTCCTAAACAGTTTATTTTGTAATAGGCATTTCGTGATGGTCAGATTAGCAATTTTCTTCTTTTTTTTTTAAATTGTAAATTTTCAAAATTAAATCAGTCATATACTAACAGCTTTTCTCTCTAAAATCTATTGTAGTATAACATACCCGGGTTCGTTCAGCAATAACGACCGGTGTGAATTCCTATTTTCTCTTCTTTTAACAAATCTTCTAAAAACGAAATGAAAAACAAATAGGACCTACGTTGCGGAAACGTACTCAATTTTACCTTCTTGACATGCGCTCGATAATAGCAAAATTGGGGAAATTTAAGGAAAGTTGCGATATGTAAAATAAACGATAAATTTGTGAAACGTCTGATTTATTATTAGAAAATCGTAGGTACCGTTCTCGACCTGGAACTCACGAGGGAAAAGAGCACGGCAAAGAAACCCTCGATCTAACATTCCTCAAAAATCAAAACATACTGTGTCATTTTAATAAATAATTCTGAGTCAATAATTTAAATTAGGTACCGCCCCTGTCTTTGTGGTGAAATTTTATTTCCACACACTACGGTCAATCAACACTACCTATATTCAATACTGAAGAGTTTTTGGTAAGTTAGCCAGTTTCACCAGCAGGTCCCTGTGCGGGAGGCTACTCAGCTATATTTGTTATTTTGAGCCAATATCTCTAGATTGATTTTTCAATTTGTTTGCTAGGATATTCGCTCGTCAGGGTAGGAAAGTGCTAGTAGATTCAACAAGGCCCTAATGCACGCTCTGATTACCAAAAATTAAAATCTCAGCACAAAAGACAGCACATAATTTCTTTAGATTTCAATTCACCTTTTTTTATCTGCGCTGTTCACAGCATGTAACGATTTTTGTTAAATACATGAACAATGCACATCTATATATATAAAAATGAATGCCATTTTTCGTTGTAATTTTATAACTCAAGAACGGGCTCACCTAGCCAAACCAAATGTTCAGGCTTTGTTCGGACTATTCATTAGATGGTTTATGTGAAGTTTGCACAAAATCGGACTAGCGGTTCTTAATTTATCACATTTTTTGTAATAAATGAATTATTCAATAAATGGAGGATCATTTTGTTAATGGGGATTTTGCTGTCAATTTGAAACTTTTCCCAGCGTTGTCAGTACCAGCATGTTGTTATGTCATTAAAGTGGTCATTTCATTACTTTTTTTTTTTATTGATAACCTATTTTACCTATTTAAAGTACTCCTCAGCGTGTTTAAATCGAACATTCAAAAACGCGCGTGTTTTAATAGAGTTACCATGACAACATCAACAACCCAAGAAAGGTAAAGTCTAAATGTCAACTTTTTAATTATTGATTTGTCAGACAATGAAAGGTATACCAGATGTCATATCACGAATAATTAATGTCCACTTATACTTTAATATACTATTATTTATTTATGAAAAAAATTTACTAAGCCCGCATACGGCGCAATCTCTTATAACCGATACCAAGTTTATTTTGTATTTTGTATTTTGTATACCGCGCCATCTCTGAGACCTAGAACGAATCTCGGCATTGCAGATACAGTAGAACAATGCTGCTCAGGAACTGGAGCTATTTCGAACAGAACTATTCCACTATTCCGATCAGATAGAGTGGTGCAGAAAGAGTAGATCAGATAGAGTAGTGGAGATAGAGTAGAACAGATGGAGTAGTGTAGTGCATGCAGTGCAGATAGAGTGAAACAGGGCTGCGCTAGAGATTTTTTTTGTTTTCTTTACATTCTTTGAACATTCCTGTGCCTGAGTTTATTTATTTGGTGCTAAACTTTACAAGAATAATGCCCACAAGCTGCCTAAAAAAGGATGATGTAAAATTTTAATTTTAGGTGACTTCTGATCCAGAGAGTAAACATTAATTTTCTTCAACCAAAGCCAAATTCACCATCGAAAAAAACTGAATTTAATTCAGCTAATAGATACGTTAACACAACATTTTATAGGGATATTTAATAATTCAGAGGCGGTACGAAGTTCGCCGGGTCAGCTAGTATGTTATAAAATAAAGTATAAACAAACAAAAAAAAAATACATAAAATGGAAAAATAATACTTGTATAAATTGCACTCTCAAAAACAAAATAACATTTATTCAATCCCCTTCGCTACTTTCGTTTTCTGTGACGCGCCCCCGTTCCAAAAACTTCACAGCGCATACATGGTTGCAACATTTACCATTTGCTTTTCTATAGGAAACGTTTTAAAAAGTTAAGATTTCAAGAAATAATATTTCAAATAGGCGGTTTTCCTCACTATGATAGCAAATTTATAAAAATTGTTAAGATTAAAATGTGAACTATTATATACAATGTTAGGCGTCTAGATAAATTTTAAAATTTGTTTAATTTTTATTTTTTTTTTCAGTGGCACGTACCTTATTTACTTGGATGGTGATATAAATAAGCCCGTTATGAAAGACAGAGAATGGGAACCTAATAGATTTCATTTCGATAATGTAGCGAAGGCAATGCTGACATTATTCACAGTCTCAACTTTTGAAGGTTGGCCTGGATTATTATACGTGTCTATCGACTCAAATGATGAAAACAAAGGACCAATACACAATTACCGCCCTATAGTAGCGGCTTATTACATTATTTATATAATTATTATCGCGTTTTTCATGGTTAACATATTCGTCGGTTTCGTTATTGTTACATTCCAGAACGAGGGTGAGCAAGAATACAAGAATTGCGAACTAGATAAGAACCAGAGAAACTGTATAGAATTTGCATTAAAAGCCAAGCCTGTAAGAAGATACATTCCTAAACACCGAATACAATATAAAGTCTGGTGGTTTGTTACGTCGAAGCCTTTCGAGTACGCCATTTTTACTTTGATTATAATAAACACTATAACGTTGGCAATGAAGTTTCATGGGCAGCCTGATGAATATGGAAATGTTTTGGATTACTTGAACATGATATTTACTGCTGTTTTTGCCATGGAATTCGTTTTTAAACTAGCTGCTTTTAGAACAAAAGTAAGTTACTCCACCTAAATAAATTTATTTGCTGTCAATCGATTCGGTGATCATCACGTTTTACGGCATTTTTAATTTAACTAGCAACACTATAGTATCAGATTAATGTTCCACTAGTAATATACTTTCCTATAAAAAATGTGTGAAAATATTTTAATGACATCTATAGTACACAATTAATTTCGCGTAGCAATGCAATGCCTCACATCCATTAGCCATGAAACCATTTTTATTGATATGTCTTTCTATAGAGCACTTATTCTTTTTTTTCAGAATTACTTTGGAGACGCATGGAACGGTTTTGATTTTATTATAGTTTTGGGAAGTTTTATAGATATCGTTTATCAAGACGTTAGCGTAAGTATCCATTACCAAGTTACGTATTTATTTTTTTTTGCAAAAGAATTAAATCCCTAAATTAGACAATATGTCGCAGTGTTTGATGTAATTTTCCACAGTGCAGGTGCTTTACAAATTTTTATTTTAAAAATACTATATCAGTTGAAATAATGACTTTGTGCATCGAGGCAGATTCAATCCAAATCAGAATATTGGCATGGGAATAGAGTTGATAGATACCCATTAATAATAATTTCTGGTTGAATATGGCATTTCAATAAATACCTATTATTTCTGTTACTATTTATCTGAGAACGTTCATCCAATTTTTTGCATTAATAACTTTAGGTAATGGAATATCTAGTTATTATATTTGTCCATTAAAATTGATAACTCATAATATAAGCTTTTTTCTCAATTACTTATCAATTATCAGACTAGGTCCACATTGAAAAATAATTCTACTTCTCAGATTATATATTCAATTCAATGTTTAAACTGATGGACATCATCATATATATTATAAAGGGCTCATTGCACTATATTTTTATCACATATTACCATAAGTGGATATAGTCAACTTCATTTTATTTCCAATCAATAAATGATTTAAAGTATAAGTTGATCAGGCCAAGGGCCTCCTTTTTAATAGTACTCAATACCAATATATTTATTTGGATTCCTTGCTATGGTACGATCGGCGTGCCATAACGTCTAAAGCCATTCCAATTAATATCGATTTGGAAATAAAGCGGTAGAGAAGCTGCTGCTTTCTAGAGTAAAACAACCTCGACCACAAACTACCTGGTGGCCGATCCTCGGGCCAGAGAGTAGAACTCCCCGAGAGAACAAATTTTTCGTCTTTATCATTCTTGTTCACTTTTCGATAACGTTGACAAGGACAAAACATTCGTTCTATCGGGGAGCTCAACTCCTTGGCCCGAGGATCCGGCCACTGGTCGTCCTGGTAGGAGGTTGAGGCATCGAGATTTAACCCGGAATTACACGCGCCAAAAAAACTTAGGTCGTTACACGCGTTCGGTCAAATCGACCGACTGCCCAAAAGTTTATATGAATTATTAGCTTTTTTCGCAGAAACGATCCCAAACGTATCCTGAACGCTAAGGCATGACCTACGCAAGTTTACTAATCAATAGAGACATGAAACTTTCAAATATTACCTGCCTAAGTCATGCCTTAGCGTTCAGGATACGTTTGGGATCGTCTCCGCGAAAAAAGTGTAGAAGCACTATAATTCCTAGAATTCATAATTATTACAAAGGGAAATATATTATGCAGTACAGTTACCATATTATCGACAGCCAAAAGTACTCCCAATATCAGAAAATGCCAATTTTGAACACAAATATTTCAGATACTCAGGTTCACGCGCCTAGTCAAAAGCACCGACTATGCAAACAACGAACCCTTCTTCAACCAAAAACCAAAATATCTTGGAGCCAATGGGTAGTGGAAAATCTGCATCAGGCATTCCTGGATGGACAAAACTGTCACCCTTGTACCAGTGGCGTAATTACTGATTTTATCAATGGTCGGTCCTTTTGACCGGCACGCGTGTACTCCAGGGTTAAAGCAGGTAATTTCCTAGGTGGGAGGAGTAGGAACAAGGAGTTGGGAAGTGAAGCAGTTTTTTTCCAGGTACTTTGGTCACCAAAATAATGGCGGTATAGCCAATTCAATGCTTTACCTGTCATTTGATGTACAAACACGTGCTAAAAACTAGCTTTCACTTTAGTTTCATAGCAGAATGTCGCGTTCCTATTCCTGATGTCCGTAGAACAGCGCTTTACTTGCTCTAAGCATCGAGCTAACTGCTCGTTACAAGGCCCAGAAAATGATTTCTTTAGCAGTGTTCAGAAAGAATTAGGGACAAAGAAAGCAATCTGGATTCTTATATCTACATAGAACATGAAAAACACATAATATCATTGGAACCAGTAAATGAAACAATAATAAAATTAAATGTACTTATGTTTGGAAGGAAAATAACAATTTTGGGAATATATGGAATGAACCACGATGGGCCCGTAAGTTTAAAAGATGTATTCTATGAACAACTCAGTGAACAAATCACATGAGTAGGAAATTCAAGGCCAAATTATATTGTTGGGAGATTCAAATGGGTGAACAGGAAGAAAAAGCAACGACACGTTAGTAGGAAAATTTAGAGAGAATGTAACGAATAACAATGGAGAAAGGCTGATAGCAATATGCCAACAAAATAATCTGAACATTCTAGATGAATAGTTTCACCATGCTCGTGGAAAAATGAAACTAGACAAGAAAAATCGATTATTGAATATTTACTATATTGCAAACATAAAATTCCATGATGTGAGAGCATGTAGAGAAGCGACCTGTGGTAGTGACCACTACCTGCTGAAAACAGAAACCGTTTTAAAAGATGGACCAAAAATTACAGAGTAGTCGGAAATCCTGGAGATGCGATACCAGCATATCAAAGGAAGTACCTCATCACAGTGCAGCATTTGAAGCCTTAGGCAGATATGGAAAAATTGAAAGAAAACAAAAACCGTATTGGTCTTTTGAAGAAATCTAGAAAGACATAGCAGGCAAAAGGAGGAAATACCCACAGTACCTTAGCTCAAATGAAGCAGGAGATAAAGAAATACATAAAGAAGCACGAGCAAGAGTAAGAAAAAAAAACGAGTTATGGACAAGAAGCTGTACGCATAATAAAACTTATCTGAGAGGGCCAAAACAAACATAGCAAGTTGGAGAAAAATGAAAAAACATCAGGACCAAGGATATTATTACCACAATAACACTCCAGCAATAGGAAGAGTATTTCGAAGATAGACAAACAAACACAAATTATAAAAACCGCAGGATCACCAAAAAGTTATAAAGGAGGAAGTTAGAAACACAGTGTAGCTTCTTGGAAAATGGAAATATTTAAAAAAATATTTATGCAAAATTTAGATTATATTAAATATTTATTTATTTATTTTATTTTTTTTTCATTTCAGCCTCCTGGTCAGCCAAAAATTAAGTTTTCTGGTAATTTCTTTCGGTTATTTCGTGTCATGAGACTGATCAAACTACTCAGTCGAGGAGAAGGTATACGGACACTTTTATGGACATTCTTCAAATCCTTCCAAGCACTTCCATATGTAGCGTTGCTAATTGTTATGTTGTTCTTTATTTATGCTGTTATCGGGATGCAGGTAAGAAATATTTTATCACGCAATAATACATTGAAGAACAAAAAAATGGAACACCAAGAAGAACAAATCATTTGCAGGGTGTTGCAATTTTCTTGTTCTTCAGCATATGTATTGCATATTGCATTCTTAATTAAAATAAACGCATAAACATTTTATGTTATTTGTTTTAAAGGCTTTTTGTTCTGATTTGCTTTTCATCAGAAACTACAAAACTATTAATAATTAGGAGCAACAGGTTGAAAATAAATCAGGTCATTGCATGTAAAACTTCAAACCAACGCCAAAGTTAATTTGCAATTAGAAGTTCATATGATCAAATCGCAATCATTAGCGGATTGACTATCTCTATACACAGAGATAAGTTAGAAATTTTCTGTATTTCACTTCAGTTACGGTTGCTAGATTTTTTTTTGCATAGCAGAAATATTAATTCGGTTTCCATTCTTCTATTCATCTAACAAAGCAAACTGGTTAAATTAAGTTAGAACAAAACTGATGAGAAAAAATTATTTTTGTTGTAGTATGGTTGTACGTAATAATTTCTAACGAATTGTTTTCATAAATTGTTGCTTGGTTATTACGAATATTATGTAATTTGTTCTACAATAAACATTCCAACATTATTTTTTCCACAAAGTATACTAATCAGTATGATAAGATAGAGAAATAGTGTAATCGCTCAAACCATGTTGTTTTTAACATTCAATATTGTTTCTGGGATATGTGTTAGTGTTTATCAAGTCAAGAATTTTGTGTTCTCAGGAACGTCCGTATTGAAATGGCATAGGTACTTGAAATGAATAAGATGGTATAACCTATAACAGAATCTCGAATCTTGAAGTATGTTCGAAATTGAAAATGAATTATGTTTTCTTTATTATAAAGACACATGTTAGAAAGATATATATTGAAACTATTCTATTTTAACGCTTTTATTTGAATAATCTCATGTCTATTGGCAGATTGCGGTTTGTGTACCTAATTTTGGTGATATTGTTTTCCCTTTTGTTACTCCTCTTTTAATTGTTACCTGTTCGTTTTCAAGATCCTCATCTATTATCACTTCGATTGATACCTCATCCTAAATGTATCTTGTAAGGAATATTTGGACTCTATTATCGCCTTATATAATAATCCTAGAATTACTCAGGATTCTCGAAGTCAAAGGCTTTCTGGTAATTCACAAATATCAGGTGTGTAATAGTGTGTTCTACTCCGTACTTTTTTTCAATTAGATTGCGAAGGGTCGGTAAGAACAAAGCTTGAAATATACAAGGTATAGTTATAGTACTAGTATAGTATATACTCTGCGGACTGGATGATAAGAGTTGATTTTATTGGGCAACCGTAACCGGTTTGGTATTATTTTTTATGACAGCTTATACAAATGTGATAACAAGCTGATGACAGTTTTCTACGATGAGCTAGCTTCTTTGGATACTAGGATGACTTCTGCATTTTGCCACTCGCCTGAAGCCTTTCATTCCATTAAACATTTGTTTAGCAAAGTCCGCACAGCTTTCAAAAGCATTCCTCCTGCCATTTTGATAATGTCGCTACTAATGTGATCTTTTCATCTGATGAAATGTTGTTTTCAGTTTTCCAGTATCTATTTTGGCAGCTTTTTCCGATCCTTTATTTTGTAGTTTCCGTCTTTGGTATTGATTATATTGGACTTTAGAACTGCACAGATTTTTGTGAAAATCTTGAACAAGTTTATTATTCCATTACGGTTGCTAACTATAATACCATCTTTGTTTTTTATTTTCGTCACCTTCGTCACCTTCGTCGGCCTTCTGTTGGTAGCTTGGATCTCAGAACTTTCATATTTTTGTCTTAAGTCTTTCCGGTTGTTTCTCTTAATTTCCTTATAGTCCCGGTTTTCGTGATTCATTTTTCGTCTTAATTTCATGCAGTGGCATATTATTTCTTTTTTTTTCTCAAGGAATACTGTTTCTGCTGCTCTTGTTTTTTTAGAGGTTATACTTTACAAGAAGTGTTAACTATCAAGTTAAGAAGTTTTATGTTTAACTCAACTTTTTTTATTCTTGGTTTGTAACTTACGCTATCCCTATCAAAGAAAAAAATCTACGGAGATTTACAAGATTTTTTTGGCTTGAAATCCATGTTCATCGGCTTGTACGCTTTTGATGCTCAATCCAGGAATTTGTTTTTTTTTTTTTTTTTTTGGTAAAATTTTCCAGTTTTTTGTTTTCAAATTGGAAATTTCGGTTAACTAGTCGCATATGGGCAACTTGACCATATGTTTGGAGAAAAACAATCATCATCATCATCATAGGCGATCACAGTATGACTATCTTGTATTCTATACTATTGTCGTCGATTGTGCGTTTCTGATGGCTATATAAACCAACTCTGGATCCGTACACTCTTCTACAGTCTTGGCACACACAGTCTCTGCCAGCATTGTCTCTTCCTCTGTTCTGTCGCTCCTTCCTGTGGTCCCTCTTTTCGGTCTCGTGTCTGCGTCGCTGTTCTTCAAAAGTTTGTGGTCCGTCGCGGACTACGCGCCGCTATGGGGCGTCGTCTCCCAGTTGCTGGTATCGATGCGGCACTTTGCCATATTTTCCTTTAGAACATCTTTGTAGCGTTTTTGTTGACCTCCTTGATTTCGCTTTTTCTCTTCCAGTTGACTGTAGAGAATCTGTCGTGGAAGGCGTATTTCGGGCATGCTGACGAGATCACTTGTCCAGGGAAATTGGTGCCTAATGATGAGGGCTTCACTGCTAGTTGTTTTCGCACTAATGCTCGTTCGTCGGTCTAGCCATTTCATCCGTAGGATCCTTCTTAGGTATCGCTAGTGGTATTTTGCTCGGCTTTTCATGTGTCTTTGGTAGGTGGTCCATGTTTCACAGCCATATGAAAGTGTTGGTATTACAACTGCATTGTAGACGCGAAGTTTAGGTCTCAGCGCTGATGTCGTGATTGTTGAAGACTCTCTCCAGAAGTCGCCCGAATGCCGCGCTAGCACACTTCAAGCAATGTTGGATTTCAGCGTCAAGGGTTGCATTTGTTGACAGATGGCTCCCAAGGTATAGGTAGTGTTTTACGTTCTACAAAGAATGGTCATTTATGGATATTTGAGGCTTGGGGATTTGTACGTGACCCTCGAAAAGGTGAAGTATCGGTCCTAAAAGTAGAGGAAATAGAGTGAGTGCAAAAACACAGCCCTGTTTAACGCCTGTAGTTATTAGAACATACTCTGCTTGTCCATCGTTGCTTATGACTGTTGCATTTATATTATCATGCAGCAGGCGGACTATCTGGATGTACTCTTGCGGACACCCAACCTTTGCCAATATCTTCCAAAGAGCTTCTATGAAGGCCATGTATAGAGGGCGATTTTGTTCCCTGGATTTCTCTTGCATTTATCTTGGACTGATAATCATGTCAGCTGTTCCTCGGTTGGGTCTAAAGCCACACTGTGTCTCTGGAAGGCTCCCTTCGGCAGTTGGGATTAGACGATTTTAAAGATTTCATAATATATTGGCAAGTATCTCTCTCGCAAGAGAAAGTAAAAATATTCCTCTGTAGTTTCCACATTGGTATGGTCCCACTAATCCATATTTTACTTATTATGATGTGGGTTTGGGCACTTAGTGTGAGGTCTCCTTGTTTGTAGAATTCAGCAGGAATGGAATGCCGTCAGTACTAGCTGACATATTGTTCTTGGAAGTGTGATGCTGTGTGCACGTTAGAAAATGTAGACGAAAGGAGTATTTCGTGCAATTTAATAATTTCAATTCAGTGCATAGCGCTTTCGGCCTAGGCCATCATCAGTGCAACCCGGAAGTAAGAGAAAAAACTTTCTTCATCTCATTTGAGTAACTCTAGGAATAATATTTTGGTTATTATGTCGTTTTAACTCCAACTGTGAACTCCTGTATTTTCACCTGACGGAGTAAGTAGAGCAGCTTTCTAACTTTTTCTTTACAGATTTTTCAATAACCAAAATATTATTCCTAGAGTTACTCAAAGGAGATGAAGAAAGTTTTTTCTCTTACTTCCAGGTGGCACTGATGATGGCCTAGGCCGAAAGCGCTCTGCACTGAATTGAAATTTATAAATTGCACGAAATACAAAACTCATCTTCTTTCTATACTACATTATTTTTCATTACTTGTCTGATTGCCTTTTCAACCTCCTCTAATCTGGGAACCTCGCTCAGTTTTTGTTGTATTGGTTTCTGTGGCATTTTGTTGAAGATGTCAATATCGATTTGTGATTCTCTGTAGAAATAGAAACACAATAAAGTCTATCAAAGCGACGGAAATATACCATTACGATGCAAATGGAAACCTAAAAAATTTCTAATCGAAAAGCATTTTCTTCTTGGGAAGATGGTTCCAGGAACTCCCGATTCTAAATGGTCTAGATGTTTCTAATATCTGAAGGTCACTACTGAAGGGATATAATCAAGAAATAGTTTTCACCGGCGGAGGAAATTGGATAATAACGTTGATTGAGTACAAAATAATAACACCCAAATAAATATTACCGTCGATATTTACAGTTTATTTCTCGCTAGTTCAAAACACTCAACTGAGGAATGCTGAAATGACATTTTTTCTGAATTTTATCGTCCGCAACTGTAACATCTGGCAAGATTTCGCTAAAAATGGTAAAATTAGGTCACTCGCTCGCAATATTTCAAACAAAATGCCATGCGATTTTATTGAGAAAAGAAAAGAGGAATATAGCGAAAAAAATTAATAGGTTATAAGGTAATCGCTGTATTTGACAGCTCTAAGGACACCTTTTAAGTTAATTTCTTGCACAATGTTTACGTATAAGAATATAGATAACTCACCTATTTTAAATGGATAATCAATTCTTGACTGATATCAGAATAAAAATCATTGTGATATCAGTGGCTGTTTCTCGCTTAATAAATTTAAATTTTGTGGTAGTGCGAACTATGTGATAGTACGACAAGATATAAAACTAAAAATTGATCCGACCTTATGAAGAAGCGACAT